TTTCTTTCCAGTGTAAATTGAAATCAGGAAAAGGGAGTCCTGGGCTCTAGATATCTTCATAATTGCCTTGCATTTCTTTCTTTCCCAGGAGAACTGTCTCCCAGGAGATAAGGGAAACCTCAAGGCTTCAATTATTTGAAAGTGCTGCACTATTACACAAAATCCAAAGGCTTTATGAGAAACTATGGGTGATATTTTAGTAGATCACCAAGACTCAAAATAGCTCAGAGCCCTGTTCTATGACAGTTTAACCCTTTTTCCTTAAAAAGCATAGAAACAGCTTAAGAAAGCAGGAGAGAGACTATCCTACTGTTTAATTCTACAGGTTAATTTTGAATAAAAATACAATATAGTTCCAGGAATTATTTAGTTTTGTAGACAGTCTTTTAGAATAGTTACATTTCTCTTCTAAAAAGTATTATACAGTTTTTAAAAGAAATTAGCTACTAAAGAAAGGACAGCTTTTAAGTAGAGTAATGAGAACAGAGATCATTTTTCTCTATAGAGATTCTACAACCAGGATGTGTGCATTTGGGGGAGGAAGCTTATTATATCTCAGAGTAGTAATTTTTTAGTACTTATAGTTGTGACTTATTAATTAACCTTGTATGTGCTCTTTTTTAGAGTTAAAAGAAGATAGGAACACTGGAATTCTACTGCTTTGTTTTTCAACAGAATCTGAAAAACTACCAAACAATACAAGGTAAAAATAACCTTTAAACAGTGAGATCTTAAAAACAATCAATTATTTGTTTGTTGGTTACCTTGGGAAGAACAATCCGTTCTATATAGAATATCTTCAGTTGTAAATTTACTACAATGTAATATTTATATTAACTTATTACTCTGATCCTACATGCTCATTATCATTCAACTTTCAACTATATAATAAATTTATACTATTTTTTCCATTTATCAAAGTCATAGTATTATGTGGACAATAAATATACAGAGAATAAAGTGGGTTTGATTTTGATGAAGTTATTGTCAGGTGACAAGAAATTAATATTTAGTATTCATATTTCTATATGGTATAGGAATGAATTTGAGCAGGATAAATCTTGAAAATTTAAATAATTTGTGCCTTGGTTTTTAGGTAAGGTTTGATCAAGATAAATAATATATACTATTTGTAAAAAATAATAAGTTATGATCACTTTAGATACTATTTCACTACTCAGTATCTCACATATTCTCAGATTCTAAAATATAATTTGTCTTGCTTTTATATAAAACAGCATGTTTAAATTTTGATGGAGCTGGTGAACATTTTATTTTCCATGTTTAAAGCTGACTTGAATGATGATAATGTGTCACCCAATTTTTCTGTTAGTTTTCTTTTTCTCAGCTAAATACTATGCCTCACAGTTTACTTCATTCAGTTTAAACTTTTAAAAGTTGCTGTGATTCATTTCTTCTTAGAATAATTTATTCCAAATATCCTATATACATATGATTAATTTTCAGCCTAAGTAGTGCTGATAGAGCTATAAGTTATGGGACTGAATACTACAAAATATAATAAAATAACAATGGTTAACATCTATTTTTTAATTTTTATTAATTTTATTGAGAAACAAATAGCAACGAGACAGTTTCAAAACCAATTAGTAGGACAGTTTCTTTTTTATTTTATTTTGTTTTTTGGCAGAACCAGGGATTGAACTCAGACATTTGCACTTGCCAGGGAGCGCTTATTCCATTGAGCCATCTCCCTGGCCCCGAGGACAGTTTCAATAATTAATACATTGCATATTGTTGTCTCCATAGTGGTATTCATAGTACAAGATGCAGACATGATATCCTGTCCAAATGCTATTAGTACAAAGCTTTCTTCTCATTGAAGTGAGGAAAAGTAGCTGTATATCGATACTATTTTGTATATATGAATACAAAATGGTCCTTCATTTTTAATCCCCTTTTTTGGTTTAGTTTTGTCAGAGATGGGTATTCCATTGTCATTTAAATATTGTAGGTGCATGAATTAACCAAAATAGTCCAATATAGTGCAGTAGTCCATAATAGTAGTGGGCTTTCTGTAGGACTGGCAATGTCAGAAGTTGTTGACTTGAGCCTTTCACAGCTCAGCATATTAATATGGCTTTACTTTTTATACCTCGTTTTTATACTTTTCTGCTAGATGGTTAAGACCAAGATAAAACAAGACCTATATAGCAAGAAATGTAACTTTTATATCTGACAAGGACAGTCAAAGCCCTTTAGAATTTAGCCTGAAACCCTATATCGCAGTTTGTAGATCCTTTGTCAGTGTCAGCCATGTGAATGAGTCACAGTCACTGCTTGACCAATTTGCGCTCTGTGAAAGTTTGAGAGAATGTTTTCTCTCCATGTGACTTTTCTTAGGTGCACTCTACATCAGCAATCACTTTCCTCTGTGGCCCCATAATCCCCTTGATCTGTAAATCTGACACACAACAGAGTTACAGAATGTTACAGTACAGGTTCTCCTATGTCCTGAGTCCTTTCTGATCTTGAAAGGCTAAGGCCAAAATGTTGGCTGTCCTTGAATGGTCAACATTTAGTGACTACTTTTCTGTAAATTTTGTCAAGTGCTTTACTTTTTTACATCATTTTACATTTATTCAAAAACAACTTTGAGGGTTATTTTGTTATCATGTCCCATTTGAATAAGAAGGTGTTCATAGAAAATATAAGGAATTTGTCCAATGTCCCAGTTGCAAAGTAATAAATTCAGTTTATCTTATTACTATATGTATTAAATGAGCTACTGAAGCCATTTAGAAAAATGTCCTGCATATGCTAAAGCCATATAAATGTTTATTGTATTTATTATTTTCCTTACAGAATCATTCATATCCTGCAGGAAAAAATATAATATGTCATAATCTCAATAGAAGTTTAAAATGTATGTGAGCTAACAAATGAATTAATGGTACTTATAATTCCTGAATTGAATTATCTATCCTCATAATCATAATCACTGTTTTGTGATGTTACTATGTAAACCATATGGAGAGATATGTAATCTGTGGTATTTGCTAATTTAAAAAGTATTATGATATAAAAGAACTGCATCAGATACTTAGAAAAACACAAATTCTATTGGAATTATGTAATGAAAATGACACCTGGATTCAGTATTAATTGTTTGAAATGTTTAAGTAACAAAATTACTATTAAGCTAAGATTAAAAGTGATTATAAAGTAGGCTTGTAAATACAAATACTTAGAGATTATGAGTAATGCTTGAATCAGTGCTAAAAGTTCATTTGTTTATTTTTATCTTGTACCTCTCATCAGGTCTCTTCCATGGGTGACAGGGGAACAAGCAATCACTCTGAAACGACTGACTTCATTCTTGTAGGCTTCAGGGTCCGCCTTGAACTCTATATTTTTATTTTCCTGATGTTTCTACTCATATATGCCATTATAATTTTAGGCAACGTTGGGATGATGGCCATTATTGCGACTGATCCCCGGCTGAACACACCAATGTATTTCTTCCTAGGCAATCTCTCCTTTATTGATCTCTTTTATTCATCTGTTATTGCACCCAAAGCTATGACCAACTTCTGGTCTAAGAGCAAGTCCATCTCCTTTGCAGGCTGTGTGGCGCAGCTTTTTCTCTTTGCGCTCTTCATTGTGACGGAGGGATTTCTCCTGGCAGTCATGGCCTATGACCGCTTCATTGCCATCTGTAACCCTCTCCTCTATTCTGTTCAGATGTCAACACGTCTCTGCATTCAGCTGGTGGCTGGCTCTTATTTTGGTGGCTGCATCAGCTCAGTTCTTCAGTCTAGCATGACATTTACTTTATCATTTTGTGCTTCTCGGGCCGTTGATCACTTTTACTGTGATGCTCGACCACTACAAAGATTATCTTGTTCTGACATTTTTATCCACAAAATAGTATCTTTTATGTTATCCTGTATCATCATCTTGCCTACCATCATAGTCATTATTATTTCATACATATACATTGTGTCCACAGTTCTAAAGATACGCTCCACCGAGGGACGTAAGAGAGCCTTCTCCACTTGCAGCTCTCATCTCGGAGTTGTGAGTGTGCTGTATGGTGCTGTCTTTTTCATGTATCTTACCCCAGACAGATTTCCTGAACTTAGCAAAGTGGCTTCCTTATGTTATTCTCTAGTCACACCTATGTTAAACCCTTTGATTTATTCTCTGAGAAACAAGGATGTCAAAGAGGCTCTAAAAAAGCTTGTAGATAGGAAACATACTATTTTGTATTAATTATCTTCCATTACTTTTTTTTTTTTTTTTTGTGTGTGTGTGTGTGTGGACTGGGGATTGAACTCAGGCCCTTGCGGTTGCCAGGGAAACACTCATTCCACTGAGTCATCTCTCTACTTGATTGTGGCTACATATTTTGTTCTTCTGGCATTCTTAATCTTTTCCCATGTAATTTACCTCTCCCAAATTTTTTCTGTCTCTGGGATTAACCCTCAATATCCTCGACATGGGAGATGTTGGAAACATTTTTAATAATAACACCTCATATTGATCTCAAGTAACGTTATTTTCACAGAATCAATAAGTATGACTTTTTCTCAAAGTCTTTTATATTTTAATATATTGCTTAAACAATACTTTATCAAGTGCCAGTCTTTGAGAGTGCTTTTGTCTCCTATGCACTATCATGGATAGTTGACAAAGACACCTAGATTATTTTAAAATCAAGTATTTTTTTTCTTATTTTTATTTGTATAAGTATGTTAAAAGGTTATTATATTTCACCTTGATCAAGTATTTTCTATATGTTACACAGAGAGGAAATAACAGTAATAAACAACCAATAAGTTGCCCTTACTAGGTACATTAATTTGGAAACTTGTATTCTAAACATTCAAAGACTGAACACTATTCTGTGATACTATCAGTTACTGGACCTTATTACAAAAAGTAATGTGGAAGTGAGGGAACTACAAATGTTTTTGAATACTCATTCCCTCAATCCCAGTTTGTATCTTTCTCATTTTGGTCTTATGGCATTTATTACGGGGGAATATTTAATAAAAGAATAGGAGCAAATAAGTCATTGAATTGAGTGCAATTAAAAATTTATTGTTCTGTGTCTTTGCGTATACTTATTTCATTATTTTTATTAAATGCTATGTAAATATCCTGGTATCTGATGAGCTGAGGGATAAATTATTTTATCTTTTGGAAGTTTACAATTTTGTTAGACAATCAGCTTTTT